TAACGCCACACAGATGGGTTTGAAAATTCTATCACCCCCTATTTTCAACAAAAGCGTTACTCGCATCAATTCCTAAATACATGTCCAAACAATGTGCAAATAATATACATTTGACAAAAATAATATTATTTCAATTTGAAATATGCTCATAAAAGTGATAATAAAAAAAAAACACTGCAGCGTGCCTATACAGACTTATTTATAGAGACATACACAAAGTGATACAATTCATCAAGGCATTAATCCTTTAAAATAGTTCAGTGGTTTTTATTCTTACAAGTGAATACAACATCATAGCAAAGAAGGATGTCAAGTTATGTATTATAAACATGCAGTTTTCACCATGCTGATTTGTCATTATTGTGCGCATGCCGCATTTGAACTGTAAGGATAACAAGTTAACTGTATAATCACTATATTATCTGCCCCTAAAATATGTCGCAAGTCACGGAGAAATAAATGAAGAAAGAAAGAAAACAATGGTGCGATCTGAATGAATTATTTAGAAATATGTTACCGTTTTTTTCTTTTTTTTTATCGCTCTCTCCTACCCAAGTTCGAGTCTCAAATCGATCCGATCTCATGCCTTTGGAAGCAACCACGATTTGCTTTCACATCAGCAAAAAACTAAGAATTTTCCCATGTATTAACTTTTCAAACTAAAAAAATAAAAGTGGAATTACCGACATGCATCACAGCAGCAGTCACAACAATGGGCTACAATCCTTTGCACTTATTTCCTTTACGTAATATTTTTCCATTTAAATAAAGTATGTAAAGCTCTGTGCATACCTGAGAATCCGGTGCAAGACACCAATGAAGTGAGTTCGTCGTCTGCATGTTTCACGAATGAACTCGTGAAGCAAATTTCGATAGCCTTTTTCCCCTGCTAACCTCAGTGTGTATCCACAAAATCTGACTACAAAGTGTAATTTCCTAATTTATCCAGAGGAGGGAGACTTTTGGCTCTCTTCTCTCAATACGTCCCTTGTTAATGAGTTTTGACCACGACTTAAACCTGTGGGACTCTTTTGAAAGGTTTATTTTTGACGCACAGCACTCACCTTGATATGGTAATTATACCCTAAGTATATAAGATAAGTATATATGATGCTGATGTCTATTAAAAATAGCACTCTGTTGTGACGGTCTTGTTTTCTCACACAACAACAGCAGACTAAACACTTTTGCTCACTGATTTCGTTACAGTAACCTAAACATTTCCCCCAAATGTTTGATGATCTCAAAAGATGTTCTCCATGTGTTGACGTTGGAGACTGGTGACCTACACACATGTACGGATAGTGACACCGCTTCTTTTTCTATTGGGTCGTCTGTAAACTTTTACAAGTGAGATTTTGTGAGCTAATAAACTATGCCTTCTTTACTTCCACAGGAAACTGTGAGCATGCTCTGATAGTGTTGGCCTTTGGAATTCAGTCAATATCCTATATAGTAATCATGTGCCAAAGATATGATTGCATTGTGTAGCCTATTATTTGGAGCATGTGCGCTGATAAATTAGGTTGGCTACGTTTCTGTGAAATGAGCATTACAAAATATTTTGATATGATATGTGTTTTTTTTTCCTTCTCACAACTTGTCAGTTCTACCTCACGCCAATGGAGCATTTCCATTGCTTCTACGTCAAATAAAAACGGTTTAACTCAAGCGGCAAAATATACAACTCTTTATTCATAAAGACTTGTTTACTTAATTAAAATATAAAATTGACAGCACATTGTTTAATTGCTAGTGATGGTTTAGAAATCAGAAGTATGAAATACACAGATAAAGGGCTTGGTTTTGCAGGGATTCATTGTTATTCTCATTGGTAGTGGCGCACGGCTAAATCATCAAGCTTTCACTTGATGTACGATTTTTTGCTCTGCAAAGGCGCACTTCATTCAGATTGTTTGCTAACAGATAGCAGATTTAACGTGTAGAATATGTGCAAAATACATGTAATACTTTTTCTCATAACATAGGCTACTTCCCGAAACGTGGATGCCTAAACAGCTCTTCTGTTGCTTAGAGCACCCTTTTCCATATTCCATAATTGCATATATTGCTTAACGTATCACCAGTGTTGGAAATGCGTCTCGTTTAAACAAAGCCTTGCTCTTTCCTTCTAATCTGAATTAATGTATTGAAAAGGTTAAATTCTGCATACTGGATGGTACGCGCACACACACGCAGCCTACCAGAAGAAGCCTGGACCAATGAAATCAACTCATCGCTCTCCGCGTAACCAGTTAGATTGACGTGGAGGACGCCTCAAATTAACTCCAGCAAACTTCACCCTGCGGGATCAGACAAATCCCTCTTTAACGGGAGAGGATCACTCGTATCCCATTCTACCCTAGACACGTTTGGCATGTAGAAGTTTTGCAGCCGGAACAAACAAAAGGTTGTCTGAACATCTTCACAAATTTACTGCATGCTGCAGCGTTCAGCCATTGAAGGGGAACTGTTTTAAAGACAAGCATCGCAAGAGCAAATGGGTGAGATCTCGTTCACATCTGCATGCTTATTTTGCAGAGATATGCTTTATTTAGACCAGAGATAACCGCAACCTTGAGCCTCAAACTGAACTGTCAAATGTTTGCTTTGGTTATGAGTATTGAAATAATTCAAATAAAGCTACTATACGGTGCCTGCCATGCAACGACTGTCTTATTAGGCCAATAACATGCATTATCTCTACTGACAATCTCAAGCGTTAACAATGTTTTAAAAATGCAGAAAAGATCGCCATGTTCATGTACAAATCTTGGATTTGCTTAACATGCCTGAACATCACTGAACATGTAGGCTACATGATGTGCCATGCTGTTTCACATAGCACATTTTCCATAGCATAAGTGTAATGCCTTTTGTTTCTTACAGAGCAAACCTACGGGGAGGTTAACCAGCTGGGGGGAGTTTTTGTCAATGGACGTCCTTTGCCCAATGCAATACGATTACGAATAGTGGAGCTAGCCCAGCTTGGCATCCGACCCTGTGACATAAGCAGACAGCTTCGGGTCTCCCATGGCTGTGTGAGTAAAATCCTTGCGAGATACAACGAAACTGGGTCCATTTTTCCGGGCGCAATCGGTGGCAGCAAACCACGAGTTACTACACCGAATGTAGTAAAAAATATACGGGAGTACAAACAAGGAGACCCGGGAATTTTTGCATGGGAGATCCGGGACCGTCTTCTCGCGGACGCAGTATGTGACAAGTACAATGTTCCTTCGGTCAGCTCTATCAGCCGGATATTAAGGAACAAGATCGGAAACCTCTCCCCGCCTAACCAATATGAAAATGGCAAGCAAGCACCTCCGCAGTCCAGCCTCTCGTACAACCATATATACCCGTATTCATACCCCAATGCAATGTCTCCCTCCGGGACCAAAATGAGCAATCCTCCCGGTGTCCCTGTCACGGGTGGGCATGTAAGCATTTCCCGCGGTTGGCCTTCACCGCACACGGTCAGCAATATATTGGGTTTTCGGGCTTTCATGGATCCTTCAGGTGAGACTATCGGTTTAGACAAATCTTAACCGCACATCAAACGGTTACATAGGCCTCAGCCTCAAGCTTGATTTGTGGTGCATGCACAAAGCAAACTGACGAGGCCTATGCAATCACCTAATGTGTGGCTTATTACAAAGATTCATTTTGAATATTGATACAGTTACATGAAGTTTAAAATTAAAATGTGAAATTTAGAAAACTGTTATTAAGACGTATTCACGCAAATATGGCCTAAGAATAACCGAGTAGGCCTTCGGATTCTAGGTATTGTAAAAAGTGGTAACCTGCAATTAGTATAACTATTTAGCTACCTGATTTGACCCATAAAGTAGTTTTGAAAATGTATAATGCATTTATGTTGATTGAATCATGTTAAATAGCATTTTAGACTAAAATATTTATTAGATATTCAGATGAGCAAATTATATCAATTTAGATATTTAAAAAATTTTTTTTTATGTATATACAGACTACGATGTGTCTATTCCTTAATTGTGAATTATAACGAATAAATTGTGATCACGCATTAAGCAACCCGATATATATAATATATATAAAATAAATCATTATAATAGGCATTATATATAAAACACGTTGTTGGAAATATTGTATATATGTTATGTATTCCTATATATGAAAATATATAGCTTATATATGGTCACCTCGAATAACTGATAATATTTTCGCTTAATACGTATCCATGTTAAATGTGCTGCACATTTGTCGAATGTATTTAAAAGATAGTTTAAATCATTCAATTACAAGGGAGACTATCGCTGACATTAGCTAATCCCGTAAATAATGCCTTATTATTCGTGGAGTAATTTTGATTTAGCTGGTTGCAAAACAAAGCAAAAACAGAAATTAAACGCATTTAAATCATTTTTCTTCCTCTAGCTATTTCTAGCGCTGAAGGATACGTACCAAAAATGGAGGACTGGGGTAGTGTGAATAGAGCGACATTTCCCTCTGCTCATGGAGTCAATGGAATAGACAAATCATCTATTGATGCAGACATAAAATACCCTCAGGTATCGTAGCAATTATAAACTGTTTTATTGTTTCAAATACAAGCTCTGTTCAGAAATAATTTCCACGTATTTGGATGTCATTTTGCAATTTGGTGTTGTTTTGTAATTACACACTCTAAAAAATGCTGGGTTAAATACAACCAACCCAGTGCTGGGTAAAATAGGGACAAACCCAGCAATTGCGTTGTTTTGACCCAGCGGCTGGGTTAAATGTTTAACCCAACCTTCTGGGTAGTAACCCAACCGCTGGGTCAAAACAGCCCAATTGCTGGGTTTGTCCCTATTTTACCCAGCACTGGGTTGTATTTAAGCCAACATTTTTTAGAGTGCACAAGTAAGTAAGTGTAATATGAATTAACAGCGATAGCCTACCTAAATAGAATTAATTTTATAGAGCTGCTTAAACGCTGTTATACCAAAGATTCTATTGCAGGTATATTTATGTGCAATAGCCTATAAAACGGACATTGTAAAGTGTTACCTTATCATGTATTATTTGTATACTTTTTTTTTTGGGCTTGCTCTGTCTTTATGTGCTTGTTTTTCGCCTGTTTCTTCAGCCTTCGTCGACTTTGTCTAGCTATGTCCCCGCATGCGCGTACTCTCCCTCCAACCAGTATGGCGTGTACAGTGGTCCAGCAGGCAGTTATGTGAGCCCAGGGCATCACTGGCAGGCCCAGGGCACCAGCCACTCCCACCCTGGCGGTGGCGTAGCGATGCACCCGAGTGACATCCATTCTTCTATGGCGTTCAAACATGCTGTGCGAGATGGTATGCACAATCATACTTTGAAATCAGTCACACTTCAACTGTTGTCCATTTTTGATGAGATTTGAGTATAATTGCTTACAGAGCATTATCATTAACTAACTTTAAAATAGTTTGACAATGATTAACCGTAGCCAGTTTTAAGATATGTATACACCTCTTAAACGTCCTTGGCTAGATTTATATTATTATTCACTTTACTTTAATGGCTAGAAACAACTCCTGGATAAATAAATGAATTTAATTGGTTCCAACCTTCATATAGAAACCTAATATGGTACTAGTGTTCTCAACCAAACCATTAGGCATGCACATAAAATTTCGTAAGAGAATGAGGTCGTGCAGGGTAAAGTAAGCGATCGAACTATTGCAGTATATCTCAATTGCGGCCTGTATGCTCACCAGTATCAATAAATTATTGGCCTCATTAATAGACCTACGTGTAATGCATTTTTGCTATTGATTATTGCCGTTTACTCAATTGTAGGCATTTAAAAAATATATATATATATATATACATCATGAAATAAATGGTCAGTTTTGGGCACTGTTTGTATTACGCAAATATGAAAATGTTAAGTATATTTCATAAACTTTGATTTCAGAATATATTTTTTAGTAAATGCATTTTAGAGAATCGTCTTGCCCCGATCCTATAGATTTACATTATTTAGAAAATGCGTGATTGGATGCGAGTAGAGTTACGACTTGTTTTGTCTCTAAATATGTTCTCCTGTTTGTCTTCCACAGGAGACAGAAAACCACAGAGTCCCCTAAGCAAGCAGCAACACGAAGCCTTGAGCAATGTACACGGACTCAACCTTTCTACCTCATCATCGTAACAACACAGATACATCAGTTTAGAAATGATCGCATTTCAAGAACGCAAACCGTAAGTTCAGCCACTGCACATCGTTCGACGGTGTTGTCCTGTTCAAGTCCGTGGCCAGCGCTCTCTGCGACAACATGGTATGCAAAATGAGATTTGTCTTAAAGCTAATTCACGCATCAGTACAAAATATTGTTTAAAGAATGGCAATAAATTACATACTCGTGTACATTAAATAAGCCCCTATGTGAACAAAGTAATAAATTGTTACTGTAAATATGAAGAAAGCTTTAGTTATATATTTTTATAAATTCATGTGTAAATATGCTAAATAAAGGTATTGCCTAAAAAACATTTGAAGTCAATATCGTTATTGTCTTTTATGATAACCCAACGTCACTTCAAATTCTCGCAAAGATATATGGACATTTCTATAACAATCTTTTTTTTCTCTCTCTGCTCGTTCTCGCTAGGGGTTTCAGTACCTATACATTTATGTCCACTCTAAATTAGCAGCAAAAAGTGCTACAACCTCTAAATTTTTTCAGCTAGAGAGTGTGTCACGCAATATGCTCTGCACGGAGTGATAAGGCCAGTTTGCTGTTTTCTCATGTGAGCTACTGAGCGTAATGGTGCTTGTCCGCATTTGGCGCCTCCAGTGATGCTATCTGTTGATGCTGGATCAATGCCACACGGTGCAAAATATATTAGGATGTATATATATATATAAAAGATAAGATAAGATAATGTAAGTAATATATAAGACTTATGTAAATATATATAGCCTTTATATAGATAATGTTCGATTGGACAATCTTCTTAAAACGGGTTTACAGTTATTTTGCTTAAAGCATTTGTGACGACATAGTTGATGTTTGTTTGCAACCTTGTGGAAGATGCCGACTCAGCAAATATATACAGATCTTCGAGTAATATGCATAAAACCCTTTGCATAATATTCGACGCGATTATTATTATTGCTACTACTACTATAGACCTTAGCGCTTTTTTAGTTTTAGATGTATGGTAAGCACAGTTTCATGCAATCACCTGCAGGACAACGGTAAAATTACAACTAAACTTAATACAAGTTACACTTCAAGTAAACATTGTGGCTTTAATATCATAATACTTTATTTTATACGTTTTTATACGTATTTTAATAGTTTCGAACAAATGCATTAAAAAACGTTAAATATGAAACAATAGATAAACGAATAACTAAATAAAGCAGCGTAGGCCTACCTTATTAATACGAAGTTGGTTTAAACAAATGGTGCATATACCCTAAATGAAATTCGGCGCATGGGAGCAGACATTTTTGAATGACTTGCAGTGCTCAAACAACGGCCTTATATTGGACATGTTCGTAATGACGTCGCCATTTTTCCTCTTCTTCCTCTTCCTCCTCCTCTCTGACACCCAAAGGTCTCTCGCCCGTGTTGTGTATGCTGTCCCCATCACTGTGGGGGGAGTAAAGAGCACCTCTTAATTGATGAACACTGGAATTAACTGACACTAGAAACGTGCACGCGGAGGATATTCTCAAATTTGTATTCAATTAGGAATTAATTACAGAGGAAATAACTTTAAATATTTCCGGGGTAGGATAAATTACAACTATTTTAAACAAACAATCAGTTACAGTCCATAATGTTAAGATGACAAACAACTGAGCCAGTTGTGGGTAAATTTATAGAAAAGGAACGAACGTTGGTACCTTGGGACATAGAGAACCCTTTTAAGAACTAAGATACAACATTATAATAAAACGCTGCGCTGGCCGTTGTGATTTTTGTTTGAAGCTGTGTTATTGATCTATAGCAGCACGTTTTATGTGTGCAAAATATAGTGTATGACTTGTGACCTAAACATCAATCATGTTATCTTTTCAAAATTAATTGAGTCTACCACCACACTCTAAAAAATGCTGGGTTGTTTCAACCCAATGTTGGGTCAAATATGGACTAACCCAACTGTTGGGTTAAATTTTGGTTACATTTTTAAATTAGCTTTTTAACCCAACAGTTGGGTTAGTCCATATTTGACCCAACATTGGGTTGAAACAACCCAGCATTTTTTAGAGTGCAGTGTCAAAGACAAGTGTAGTGTGAGAAAAGCTATATTTTGCACTCAGAGCCAAAACATTAGTGAGATTAAAAAAAAGAAAAAAAATTGAAATTTGATTGATGGAATCATAGCCGTCTTTCTGAGCAATAGGTGACCACGAACGTGACATTTGATAGCAAATCGTCAGATATGAACTCTCTCAGTGTCGGTTAAAATATCTATCCATGACCACGACCATCTAACTATAGTGTTTCCTAAAACATCTCTCCGAATTCCGAATATTATTGTCTTGTGCAATATGCACAATAGCACTTCAAAATGACATTAAACAACCGTATACGACTCCATTATAGTCCCGGTTAATAACATTATCACAACAATAATGACAACTAAACGTGTATGAATGAATGAACGATCCAAATGTCAAAAGCTTAGACAAGACAGTCTTATCAAGGATTTAAGCATGCAATGCAAATATTTAAATTAGATGTTTTATGGCTTAGGATCGTTGTTCATACTCACGCAAGCTTCTAAAATGTGGTTTTTCTAGTTCTGCTCTATAGTTAGTGTAAAACGAAAAAAAGGTATCACAATTGTTATTTGAATGAGGGTAAAGGTAAAAGATCGGTGTCACTGATGCATGTTTTTCAGTCCATTTAATTCTCGTAAAAGGTGATGTTTTTCACCGCCAAATTAACAGTTAAAACTTTAGTTCTAGTTCCAGTTCTATTATGTTAATTTCTGGATTTTCTGTAGCAATAATGCACTAGCTAGAGAATCAGACTGATGATTTCACGACGGAAAGATGTCTGTTACACGTCCCATCTTAATATTACGGTCTGTTTCCCAAAAGCATCGTAGCTTAAGTAGCACTTGAAAATCATCGCAGATCTGCGAGTGCATCGTAAGAAGACAGATGTATGCGGTCACCTGCAGGACAATCAGATTGCACCTTTAACTTTATTCAAGTGCAATGTGATTATAATATAAAGTTTTGATTGTACTTTATTGTACACTTTATTACTCGTTTTTATGAATTTATAAATGAAATAATTAAAAAGGGCAGAAAAAATAGAAATACACATCTACATTTAATGACAACAAAAATGAATAAAAGAAGTAATGTAGGAAATTTTATTATGTAAAGTATAATATTATGCGTAAATAATATAACATAATAAAATAGCTATTATATCGGAGTTGTCTGGAACGCAGCATTAGGTTACCATTTCAATAAACGAGCGTGTACTACATTCTATAAGGTGACATTTCAGCACTTGACAAACAGATAGCGACTCCTAAGTAGCACTGAAAACACGGCTACGCGCGATTGCGTAAAGTGCATTTTTGGGAAACGCACGTGAAACAATAACGAACGATCGTAAAATTACTCGTAGAAAACGCTCTTAAGCTCTAAGATCAATCGTGACTATGCGTTCAGTTAAGCAAGAACGCAGCACATCTCAATTCTCATAAGGGTGCGTTCTGTGTCCTCGCGTCCTTCCGAGTTCGTTCATCCAAGGAAGCTTGGCAAGACCGATCTCCACGAGAACGCAAGTCCGTTCTTTGCGTTCTTGGAATTGAGAAACAGTCTCTGACTCTATGAATGCATGTACTGTTCCTGCCGTATAGGCACTTTCAGATTTCAATGTCGCCATAGACTTAAAACTCTTACTGAGCGACCTCTAAACATAGGCTAACTCAGTGTATGGCAATAAGCAAGAATTGCAGCGTTTTTTCCAGTTCAATTTTTCAGTTCTTCAACAGACCTCCAATACTTTTTTTTTTTTACCAGTTTATTTATTTATTTATTTATATGCTTTGGTTATTACAATTATTGTAATGATTGTTTCATTATATTATTACTTTTCCAAAAAGAAAAAAGAAAAAAATCTGATTAATAGAATCCCCAATTGTTTCATATGCATAGACAGGAGGAGGAGAAGCAAAATATTTTTTTTAAATGGTAAATTATAAGACAGCAGCTTTTGGTTGAGCTCTAATTTAATGATGCAATACAAAACTTCTGCAAGATTTACCTCCTCATTTTAAATTATTTATACTTCCTTAAACGTAAAGACATGTTCCCACACTGAACAGCTTTAACCTGCTATAACTATAGTCTAATACCTCCTGTCGTTGGATGCACTTGTCTGCAAATTAAAGGGTCACGCCAATAATCACAGAGATGTTTGTGCTTACAGTTGAGATAGTGATGCTGCTGTACGGTAAGGCAATGGGTTTTCATTGAATGCAATGTCAGCTTTGGATAAAAGTGTCTGCCAAATGCATAAATGCTGTTGTTACATTGGTGCTGTTAAGACCCAGTCATAGCGCAGTTTTTAAACTTTTATTCTGTTACAGTTACAGGTGTTAATTTTTTTTTGATTGTTTGTTTGTTAATTACCTGTTTGCATGTTACCAGATAATTTAATTTGATCACAAACAACATACAAAACACTAACTGCAGGGGGAAAAAATGCACCTGTGCACCATGGTCAGAATAATTGCCTTAAAAAATACGGTTTCACTTTATTTTGATGGTCCCTTTAACACATTCTGTTGACTTTACGTAGCGTTGCACCTCCATGTCTACTAACTCTCATTAGAGTATTAGTAGAGTATTAGTAGACTGGTAGGGTTAGGGTTAGATTAAGTTGACATGTACTTGCAAAGTTACTTATAGCCAGTAGAATGTCTGTTGGGAGACCATAATAATAAAGAGTTAGCAGATATTAAGCAAACAGTCTACTAATACTCTGATGAGAGTTAGTAGACATGTAGGTGTAGTGTTACTTATTGTAAACAGAATGTTTAAAAGGGACCATCAAAATAAAGTGTTACTAAAAATACACTTAAAATGTAAACAAAACTGGTATGGCATGACCATGCTATTAATATTGTGTACTTTAACATATGCTGAAAACCACCTTAATAACACAG